TGTATCGAATGAACAAGATGACGTCTTAATGCTTGAAAATGGCTGAGAAAGACACTAAGGGGACATTCTGAGCTTTCGATTGGTTATTCACATGTCATAGACAGAAGTAAGTGTATATAACAGTGTTTCAAAAATGGAAAGAGGTGAGTGGGGCCACTGCATTTGATTTAGTACATGAGCAATATCTCAGCAAGCAGAAAAGATAGGAGGTTCTTATTTTATATTCTAACTTGTCAATATTGGTAATATGAGTTCCTACTTCATACAAAACTATAGACTTTGTATTTTGACATCACAAACATCTAATTTGAACAAGTGCTGCATTCAACATACCATGTGACATACAAAAATTGATGTTTAGGGGGTGTTTTTAATATTTATTTTTAAATTAAGATATTAAATAATATATAGTACTAAAATTTGAACTATAATCTACAGTTTGATATCAAACTTATTGGCATAAATTCATAAAGTAGTAGTTCAATAAAATTGAATGCGAGTCAACAAATGCAGTGACATGACCTTTCACCTATGTGGAAAGGGTGAAAGGAACACCAGATATTTGTAAAAAGGCTAACTTCAAGGGGTAATGATAACATCACTTACACAAGAAATATGATATATTTTTTTGGCTTATGTAAAATACAGAAGAAACAAATAGACATTTCAATGCCCCTATGATCTTCACAGCACTTGACTTAGTACTGTACAAAAGGTTTGGGTGCAATATACTGTTGTAGACTGGTAAGAGAATAATTATAATGATAATAAGAAGAATTACAAATGGGCTGTTTTGAGCAGATTTACTTTTCCTTGTAAGTCTAACATGCATGTTTATTTTGTATATTTTATATGTGTACAGCCTCAGCAGTCAATAGTGAAGATTTTTAAAGTGTTGTTTGAACTGAATATTTACTGTGTAAGATGTTTTTTGCCCAAATTCTATTAGAGTTTTGTGTTATTACTTGTGATCCCTATTATGAACCACTATTGCTGTTCATGATGTATTATTTTATTAAAAATCTGGATTATATGTATATTTAGTATTTTGAAGTCCATAAGTTATTGCATAAAAAGCCTATTATCATCCAGTTTGTTTTTGTTTTTATATACAAAACTTTGTCAAGCTAAAGAATACAAGAAAAAAATATATAATTTAAAAAATGTACATAATAAAACTGACAGCATTAATTTTAAAATTCCAAGTTAATTAATTTTGTTACTTTAAGTGAACATTTTAAACGAAAGATAATAAGTATCTTAAAAGTAAAGAAATAAAATATTGTTGTCTCTTCCAATTAGGCTACCAATTACATGTTCACATATTCAACTGATTTATTATTTCTACTAACAAACTACATTTTTAAAGAGCATTCACTTGTCAACATTTCTCATGGTTTCAGGTCAAATATAAGGCATATCTTACGCTCAAGAGGTTAAGTGATGAAACATTTGATAATATGTACTGAAAAGATAGCTTAGATGTGAAGATTTCAACAAAGAAATAGAAAAAAGTGCACATGCAAAATGTGTTAGAGGCTTCAAAGAATTTAAGATTCTTTATGCAGTTCGGTGTAACCAAGATTTTACCGAAAATTAATTTAATGACAGACAAACTTATAATCTTACCAAGTTTCTAGTTAATCCACCAAGAAATGAAGAAATGGCAGTTGAATGAAAAGCATTTAGATGAAAAAGAAATAGAAAAACATTATGTTTATCTGCAGAGACACAAGTAAGACAAAATTAACAGAATTTTACATTGGCAAAAACTGAGTTGTTAATTCATTGGTTTGTTAACCCTAGTGATGATATTCAAAGACGTTTCCAGTGGCTTAGAAGTATCTTGCAGCATAACGTGCAGGTTATGGACAACATAATATAATTGATTATTGAGCTCATTAATCAATTACATTCAACTAATCAATTATTCTCATATGAGACTAGGAAAGTTGGAATAATTAAAATAGTAATAACTGGAAACATTAATTTTATTAGTTGATTATTTTTGTGACCTTAACTGATTTAATGTAAATTTGCTTAATTCATTATTTTACATAACATTAATCATTGCTCATAGGTAATTCATTATATCGATTATTCACCAAGCTCCACATACCAGACAAAAAAGATTACATAACACAATACAGTGGCATGCCATGCACTACAACACTAGATCAGTCTCCTGGTATTCTAGCTTGACAAGATATCTTTGTAGGTATTGTGTAACTTAATAGACAACTACACACTTAACTGGAGTTCAAATAACACCAGTTACATCTAGCCAAATGAGAGTTTGACCAAGTCTAATGGCAAACATCTCACTGATGTTCATAATGGCTGGAGACGGCTTAAATGGGTAATGAAGAAAAACTTTAATATAAGCCGTCTCCAGCCATTATTAGTCTCAAAGTGGGTTCCTCGTCATCGAATTTGAATTCATCACTGATGTTCAGTATTTCTCTCTACAAGTGAGTCCACATTCTGTTTTGATGCACAGCTAACATCAGAATGTGAACAAAGCTCTATGGTGATTATATGGTGCTTGATAAGATTCAATAAACTTATTATATAAATTCTTTGTTAAAATTACTTTTTTTTTTATCTTTCTACTGTATGGTGAAACACACTGTAAAAAACTCATCTAAACAGAGTTATGGGTTACTCTAATGAAGTAAAGCAGAAAATATTGTGGTGTTAGAAGTTAGTCTCCCAGAAGTATAATTACTAGACTAACTTAAGGCTGAAATTTTTAATTGTTTTTGATTATCTATAATTAAACAAAGGTTAGATTAAATCTCAAGTGACGTGTTACTAATGAAAAAAAATATATATATAAAAAATAATTATTTCCCTAATCATTTAATGTTGCTTAAGAATCTCTCATAAAATAACATGCATTTATATGTAGCATATACATTTAAAAACTCATGACCATGAGTAATTAACTAAATAAAGTTGCAGGGAAAAGAGTTTAGGGTATTAACATAATTAGAAAACTCAAACAATCTCACCTTTTGGGTAATTTCTTCTTCAGGATTCTGATCACTTGTAGGACCATTGTCTAGGGAACTTTCAAGTTCATCCAAATGTTTAATAGTTGAAATGGTATAGCTTTTCTCTGTTATCATTTCAGATTTTCTTTGTCACAGAAATAGATTTTCTATACGTGAAGAAAGAAAATTTAAAATCTTTTGAAAGTAAATCTATTGCTTTGATTTCACAAAAAGGTTATATAAATTATAATATATGGACAACAAGGAACTACTTTGTCCTTCAAAACTGTTCCTGCACGCTCATCCTTGAGAAAAAGTAAAAACTTAAACCTACCATTCATTTTTGGGGGACTTATTTATTCCTTGTTTAAGCTCTTGAATTATAAGCACCTTATGTTAAAAAAAAAACATATCTGTCCCATATCATCTTTTCACTCTTATTTCAATTCAATAATGATAAATCATGTCTCATGGCCTCAAAATTAGCTTTAAAAAATTAGGAACTGAAATTCTTTTAATAATAACATGTAACAAATCATCAAACTTAGTCATACAATGATAAGTCTTCCCCAGAAATGTTCCCACAAATTAATTCTTACAAAACCATCCTTATTAGTGGGTTAACAATAAATTTAAAATTGCATCTGCTCTAGCTAGCTCTCTGATGATTTGGTATAGAAAATCATTTTGAATCTTTTCAAGAACTCTCTCCCCCCTTATTCTTTGACTTCATACAATCCCAATCAATGTGTCTAAAACTTAAGTCTCCCATTATAACTCTGATTTTATTATAAAATTCACCATCAACATCATCTGTCTGATCACTTGACTTACAACATTTGTCAACTTTATAGCTTATTGACAAACAATAACTTACAATTTGAGTAACACTACATGTTTTGACAAAACATTGGTTTGTCTTTTTCATGTACCTGAATAAATTATCTGACACATCTAACAAAGTTTCAGTAACTCACATCACAATCCTGATATGGTAAGACCTGATGAAAAATTTTCCAACAAACATTTAACAGGCACAAATGCTTAATTCAAAAAACCTCAAAACTCGCTCTTCATAAAGTTCTGAAAAAGTATTACTCTACACGTATAATAGAATTAAGCATTTTTAAAGTAATAACAATGCACTGGAACATGTATACAAGTAGTCAATACACTTAGCAAAAGAAGAGTGCATGTTATCAGACATTATGTACGGTTAGAACAATCATCCAGCAAAAAAAGTAAACAATTATTAATATGTATAAGTATGTTCATTTTATAGCCATTTTTATACATTCTCACCACAGATACATGGATATAATATACTTATACCCTATAATAATGAAAAAACCTGTATCTACTGGCAGCTTAATAAATTTCCCATGTGTAAATGACCTCATATTGACTAACTGTTTACAGAAATAATATTCCACTTTGATTATGGCTTGAACACACGATGTCTGGCTTTCAATCTTCCAACTGAGCTATCAGGGGCAACTCCTATCTTAATTCTTATTAATCCCTCACTCACTCAAACAAAGCTTGTCCTTGAGCTTTCAACTCATCATACAAACATTACAAAACCAACACAAATCATACTTGAGCCCCATGTTGAACACCAATATTAAGATTAATTTTTACATAAATAATATTCTGCTCTGACTAGGGTTCGAACCCAGGACCTCAGGCTTACATTAGTGCTCTGACATTGATGCTTTTCCAACTAAGCTATCAGAAAGTCTGTAGGAAATAAAATACCTGTTAAAATTGTCTACCATTTCAAGAATCTGAAATCATTATCAAACTTTAAATTTCTTATTTATCACCTAAGTTGCTAAAAGCCAATAAATTTTCAATTTTTAAAATCTTAGTAAAAAAATTCAGTAATAACTAAATAAGTACAGATCATTGTAATTTTCATATCTCCTAGTCAGTCTAGTTATAACTAATGATGTTATCACGACCTAAATACAAATGTTTTTTCATTATACTCATTACATCATTTTTTCTGAATTATAGTAACAAATCAGTGAATGATATTATAACTACTAAACTAGACAATAGGTTAGAAACAACGCATGCTATTGCCAATACTGGCAGCAGTTAACTTGTAAGTTGTATTAAGGTTGATATATTAAAACGAAATACTAATGTTATATATAAACATTAAAAGCAATACTTATTGAGATACCTACCAAATTTTCGTCACGAATGTTGAAGACCAATTTTACCACATTCAGCTCAATACATCTATTCAAATTAAATATTGCGTTCGGATTTTAAAAACCATCATATTAATTTACAGCAACTAATCTCGCGCCAAAACATCGCCATCTGTTGTTGAAACATTAGAAAAAAAAACATCCAAGATAAATATTTTGGTGTTACAAAGGTATAATTTACTGAACGTCGAATTCATGTTAATATTCTTTTTCGCATAATATCTATATAACTTAATCAGAAAATTTAACTTAAACTTACCAACAGATTTTTTCTTAGCCAATAACAACGTATTTAGATATAAAGATGCCGAAGAAACAAGAAAAATATTAAGTATTTCTTTGTTGATCTCAAAAGTAAAATAGGAAAATATACTTTATTTATAAAGAGACAGTTTTAAACCTTTATAAAGGATTGTTACATCACTACTCTATATCTGGTACGTCTTTTCTTCGAATTAATCTATTGTTAGGTTTAAAGATGTACGGTAGAGATGTGCCGTTCATGAACGACTCATTACTGTGAATCAAAGTCCCATTTGAATCGATTCTTTGATTCACCCGACACCGATCAATTTGCCACGTAACAGGAGAAGTAACTAGCATCATAATAATAATAACTCATGAAATGATTCATAAAAGTTTGAATCCGGTACAATAATCATTCTGAAATTTCTAACTCAAATCCATACACAATATTCACATCATCATCATAATAATCATATTCATAATAACAACATATAATGAGCATAATGATAATTACAATAATAATAATCATTATTTATTATTATTATTATTGTATATCTTGATATTTTTAACGCTAAAAAAATATTGAGTTGCTTGCATTTTGTGTCCTATTCATAAAAAATAAATTCACAATTTGATATGCTGTTTTACTATTGTGGTTATTCCTCTTTTAGATTCTGGTAACTGAAACCTAATTACAGTACCTTTAATTGGTTTGTTTCAGATCGTTAAATCACTGGCAGAGTTATACTTTCGCAAAATATGACATTTTATGGTAGGGGAACTGCCCATCCAACCGAGAAAGAGTCTAATGTATGGGACAAGTGTGACAACTTTTACACTAAGTTCTTATTTAAATAATTTGAATTTTTTGACTCATAGTATAGTACGAGGATCATTCGAAAAGTTCGTGACTCGACCTAAAAATAACTGGAATGTATGAATTTTTCTGATAAATATTAAGTATGCATCTTTTAATTAGTAAACAACATGTAACGTTTAACTTAACGAGCTTATTTTGTGTGTTGCGGATTCTTGAAGGAAAGAAGTGAGCAGCGTTGAACGTTATGGATCAGATCAAACTTTGTGCCGTGATCAAACATTTTGTTAAAAATAAAATTACACAGCAAGAAATCCACCAAGACATGGAAGCAACATCAGGAGAGAGAGCGCCTCGGCATATTCAACGGTAGAAAAGTGGTTCGCTGAGTTTAAACATGGTAAACAACCACGTGAAGATGATCAGAAACCAGGGCATCCCTTGTCATCGATCACAACAGAAATTGTTCATAAAGTTCATAATTTGGTTATATATGATAGAAGAATTGCCATTAGGAAGTTAGCAGAGGAAGTGGGAATCGGTAAAAGTGTTATAACAAGCATTTGGAGTTACGGTTTAGGCATGAGTAATGTTACTAACAGATGAGTTCCAAAAATATTGTCACCTGAGCAGAAATGGATCCGAGTTCTTGAAAGCCAACGCTTAGGTCTCAATATATTCGTAGCTTTGGATAAAACGTGGGCTCACCACTTCGATCCAAAGAGAAAAAAAAAATGGAAACGCCAAAGTTCGCCCACCCCAAAAAAGTTCAAGTCACAACTCTCTGCTGGGAATGTCATGGCATCAGTTTTTTGGGATGCTAATGGCGTTTTGCTAGTTGATTATTTGGAAAAGGGTCAAACCGTTAGAGTGGATTACTATTCATCCTTAATGAACAATTTATGCCAATTAACCAGAGAAAAGAGAATAGGATTACTCAAAAAAGTGTGCTCTTCCATCATGAAAATACCCCAGGTCACAAATTGCATGTTGTTTTGAACGCTATCAATGATGCTGGCCTCGAATCACTTAATCCTCCGCCTTATTCCCCTGATTTAGCTCCAAGTGACCATTTTTATCTATACTAACCTTAAAATATTTCTGAAAGGTCGAAGATTTCAGAGTGCTGATGATCTCATACATACTATTTAGTCATGGACTGAGGACCAAGAAGAAGAGTTCTTTCGGGGGGACATAAAGTCCTTAGAGCACCGCTGGCACAAGTTTATAGACTAAGGAGAATATTATTTTGAAAAATGAATCATAGTTGAACCAGCGTCTCTTTACTTTATAGGGTCGGGCCATAGATTTTTCGGACACCACTCGTATCTAATCATCATGTGGTAAGAACTGCATTAAGAAAAGACAATTGAATTTGAGAGAACGTTTCAGACTCGTGACGTTGAGGACAAATTTGTAGGTGACATTAAATTATTATTTTTTTTTCAGTAAAATAAGGTGGGTGAAATATGAATACAAATATAGGGGATTCCTGGATATCTATTTAACGTTGGTGTTTTGTTCTCTTCGAATTATTTCGACATTGTTTTAAATAATAATGTTTTATTTGTTTTTAAGCACAAAGCTACACAATGAGTTATCTGTGCTGTGTCCACCAGGAGTATCGAAACCTGGGTTTTAGCGTCACAAGTCTCCCGACTTACCGCTGTGACACTGAGGGACCAGCAGCTAAAGCATATATTTAATTCAACTATGTCAGAAACCCACCACCGAGCTGCATTATATTCTATGATTCTAGTTTTCTTTGGATATTTTATTTTCATATAATTATAATTTATGTAAAACAACAATGTGACTACAGTATATATAATACCATTCTTGTTTGTATATATGTTTCATACTTTACATCCATTTATCCTCTTTCTTTTATCCAACATTTCCGAATTATTTTACAACTGTACGGATATGCAATATCTGTAACCATTCAAGTCACATAGTGACTTGAATAATCAGCGTTATATTCCCCGCTGATTTCTCCAAGCCCGTTCCCTTGGCTGTGGTTTTGCTAGATAGTAGATAGGGACAGTGTGAATCTCGTTAATCCATTCATGCACGTCACTAATTAGATGATGAGGCATTTGGCTACCTTAAGAGAGCTTACATCTAAATACAACACTAATAAGCAATCTCTGACTCAACAGTAGACAAGTTGACCATTTTGATAGGTGGTGGGGTATCCCGTCAGATCCATAAATCCGGAAGCCTAAAAGTGCAATATGTGGTGTATAACAGCAAAGTCAAATGAAAGACGTTCGTCCAAGATGTTTCGAAGAGCAATAAGTATATATTTTTTTTTCAAACGTGTATGTGCATTAAATAATATTCTATTTTTTAAATTTGTTGTTCGGTTTATTCGTTTTTTGTTAAGCAGGTAGCTACACAATGGGTTACTTGTGCTGTGCCTACCACTGGTATCAAAAACCATTTATTATTTTTGTATTTGGTGCTACTACTTTTCTATTTCTTGGGGTATTTTCCGAAACGTGTTGGGTTATATGAAGTACAGAACGCTGTCATTTTTATCAGTAGCTGGTACAATATTTCAACACAATAACATATATTAATTTTAATCGTATATGATCAGCAGATCATGCTTTGCTAGGTAATGGGTTATACACAATATAATATAGGGCTATCTTTCTTCTTGAAACAATAAAATATGGCGCTATAATTCTTCCTGATGTGCTATATGGTCAATGAAACGACGACATGAATAATATAGTTTACTATTTTATACAATGTAGTTTGAATAAAGAAATATTTATAAATTTATCATCCACAATTTCACATTTAATTTATAATCATTGCTATACCAGATATCTCTAACAGATGCCGCTAGTGTCCAGAGGACAAAAATGAATGAAAAAATGGCATGGAGGATTTCAAATTTCGGATAGACTAAAACTAAAGATATGAAAAGTAGAGACAGAAAATATATTAAATGTACCTACAAAACTTGTCCTCAACTTTGATTCACTTTAATTTAATAATAATGGAGAAATTACAACTTCTACAACCAAAACTTCCGATTGAATTTAATAAGAAACACTCTTACAATACTAAATTAAAATCATTATATTGTTACAACGTCGTTCTTTCGTTGGCGGGTTATTTTAAATTATTTCATATAGTGCAGAGTGCGTGATTGTAAAAACGTAGGTCTACAATAAATTAAAAAGTGTAAAAGCCTGTAAAGTTTGTTTGTTTGTAATTTCGTGCAAAGCTACACGAGGGCTATCTGCGCTAGCCGTCCCTAATTTAGCAGTGTAAGACTAGAGGGAAGGCAGCTAGTCATCACCACTCACCGCCAACTCTTGGGCTACTCTTTTACCAACGAATAGTGGGATTGACCATCACATTATAACGCCCCCACGGCTGAAAGGGCGAGCATGTTTGGTGGTATGCGGCTTCGAACCCGCGACCCTCAGATTGTGAGTCGAGCGCTTTATCCACCTGGCCATGCCAGGCACTAAAAAGCCTGTAAAGACCCGTTAAGGAAGATATAAAACGAATTTGTTATTGTTACTTGGATAGTACGTTGAATTATTTTTACTAACGTAAATCTGAACTTATTTGTACAAAATAACTCAATAAGCGCGATATCTAACACGAATACAAAAACGCAAACACTCTGATTGACTCACTCTACTGGATAGAAAACATCTCTGTATCTTCTTCTTTCAATGCAAAATTTCATAGCCAAATGAACTAACTCAGCCACTTTTGTAATGTAGTCCTTGTTCTAGAAATTTCTCAAAGCCTTTCGTTCATTAATATTCCCGAATATTCTACAACTGATTGATCTTAAAATTACGCGCCTTCTAGCTAACATCTTTGTTTATTGTCAAGCACAAAGCTATATGGTAGGTATTTATACTGTGCCTCCTGCGGATATCGAAATCCGATTTTTATAGTTATAAGTCCTCAGACTAACCGCTGAGCCATTAGGGTTAGCTTACATCTAAATACAACACTAATAAGCAGTCTCTGCCTCAACAGTAGACAAGTTG